AAGCCTCAAAAGTACTGACTCAGATTTGGAACAAAACTTAGCCATTTAACAAGGATTATCTTATTATTGGACAATTTAAGGGAGTGGAAATAGGCCTTAAATTGCTGAGTTTAAATCCAATCCAGGACAACAATGACTTAAAATTATTTTCAACTGAAGCACTGTAATTGAGTGGGCCGAGCAGCCAGATTTGTTGCTGAGTGGTGTCCACATTAGAGAAGCCATGCAGCTAGTTTGTGCTGCAGTTCTTTAAAGAGCTCTCAGCAGTCATGCGTTGAACAAACACGGAGTCTCATTTAAGATGGTTTATCCATGTCAAAGATGAAAAAAAAAAAAAGTGGCAGAGTAGCTGGGCCATTACTGTTACCTGTGCTGGAGCTCTTCTGTTGCTAAATGACTGAGATGACTCTTCAAGGCTGAGTGACTGATAGTTTCCAACAGCAACAGTTTCACAAGCAAGAAAAAGGATAAACAGTGTCCTGAAGAGACACCATGATCCATCAGACCTTGTACTGACTCTGCCACAGGCTTGCTATGTATCCATAAGCAACTCATCACTCAGCTCTTGCTGCCTCTAGACTGCAAATTGCCTGCATACCACCTTAGGTGTTCATGGAGTAGAGGTCTGATTGCTGTTCAGTATGTGGATACCACCAGAATAACAATGACATAGTTTTGGGTTCCTACAGCATAGGTTTGGGACCCTTTGTGTTACTGATACACCTCATCTTCTCCATGTCTTTTACAAAGATGATGATAACAAAACTACCAAATTAGAATTAAACCAGCTCATGATTGTAGAGCACAATGAGCTTCTCTGTCAACAATATGCTCGCATCAAGTGACAGCAAGGATTTTTGCTGATAATTACTTTCTCCTTACAGCATTCCTTACCAATTTGTCTGAAACTATTGACATCAGGTGTGATGCATTCTCACATTTCTCATTGTATCACTTCAGGCTTCTTTTAAAGTTTTCTTTGCACTTACTGACTTAGTAGGCATTTTATTTTTTGTTGCTTTTCATCACAGGTGGCTAATGTTCTGCCTGGCACACTAAGGATGAAATGCGATCATTAAGTTAATACCTAGTTTAACTATACCAGTGTGCATTTAAATTGAAGCAAAAAATATGCATAAATAGTGCCAGGTTTATCTCTTCAGTCCCTCTCATTATATGTAATAGCTTGATAATTTTATTTCTATATAGTAATTATTTTCATGTGAATATCTTTTTGTGCATACAGTAATAATATTTTACTTGTTTCTTTGTCACTGAAAATTATCCTGGAGATTGCAGAGCAGACAAAATAGTTTCATCCTGTCACTGGCTGTGACTAATCTCAGCATTGTCTCCATTTTTACATTATGAATTTTGGCTCATTACCAGAAAGATAGCTTAATAACAATAATATGTTAAAAAATAGTTGATTAATGCATGCCTGCTTTAAATAAAAGGAAAAGTTTCTTTCTTTTATGAAAAGGTAAGAGACTTCTGTGTGAAGCTATTCAGAATCATGTCTCAAAGCACTAAAGGTATCATTCATCACTGGGACAGAGCTAGAGCTTTACTCAACTTTACTCAAAGGCTTAATAATGTTAACATATTCTTTCCCAAGTGATTTACATCCCAGGAGCTCAAACTATTTTATGAAAAATAATTAATTATCCTTCAGCATAGCTGCTGCCATGTTGGGTCAGTTATCCACAATATAAGAAGAGAAATTCAGACATGAACAGGTTGGTGATTTGTGAGAATCACAGTGGTGAAGGTGTGGGGTGGGAATTCTGACCTGTGGCCTCTTCAGAGGCTTGTATTTCCAGAGTGTCCTCACACCTGTGCTCTACTGTTTCAGGTTTTCTGCGAAGTATGGTGTTCTAATTGTGCCTTTTCCCTCAAAGCCTGCCTTAAAAATGCATTGTTTTCAGAGGGGGCTGAAGTGGGTAGTATACTGCAGCTGTCTTGGGTGTAAAAGACCTACGGACTCACCTATATAAAGGGAATTGGCAGCTGTCAAAGAAGCTCACTTAGTCTTTACCTGTTAGGGAGGTTTAGAAAAGCTGAAGAACCGATGCAAAAAAGTTGTTGTTCCTTAATAGTGCACAGGTGAACATGCATAAAGTATGGATTGACTTCAGTTCCTTCTCCTTGGAATACCATGCTTGCCCCTCTAGAATGGGCTCTTAATCTCTTCCGGCACCACAGTGTCTCCATACTCAATTCTCTATATCCTCACCTTCAAATTTCTTCCCATTTCAACTGCCTGGTCTGTTTTTTCCTCTCAAGGTCCCTTAATCCAGCTCTTGCCAATCGTCCTTCCAGTTTGAGATCTCCATGAGAATTAATCACCTTACAGTATGTTCACAGTAGACGTACTGCTGTGAAGATAAATGAAACCACTCCTTATATCTCTGTATTATTCTAACTACATCTCTTAAGTTTGCAGACGAGTTGCAAACTAGTGTCTTACAGTTTCTATATTTATTTCCCTCCACTTTCAGACTTGTGGTGACTTGCTTACATTTTTGATTCTTTTAAAAGCATTGCATAATTTTGGATAGCCTTCAGAAATATTTGCTCTGGTTCAAGCACATGTTGAGTGGGATGTGAACGAGAATCTGTGACTATGCTGCAAGAGGTCGGACTAGACTACTGCTTGTCACACTAATTCTTGTGTTGGCTTTAAGCACATACTCAGGGCATAAGGCTTGTTCATGATTCCCCTCCTGAATTATTGAAATCACAGTATGATAGCTGATCTGATCCAAGGGGTAACACTGGGGCATTCACAGCTAGAGTTGCAGAGTGGAAATAAGACAGTTACTACCCACCCCCGCCCCTTGACTGTTTTCTGAGCTCATGAGAACTAATTTAAAAATATGTATGTGTAATAAGTTTGTGGCTTATCTTTCTAATTATCGGTATTATTGGCTTTAATTCATGGTAGCATCAGAATAAATTCCTAACTCCTGCTTGATATTGTTGGAAAATAAATTTGCACCAAAGCAAATTATGCTGCAAGCAGTTAAAATAACTCCAGAACCCCAAAAAGCAACAAGAGGGAAAACTATACTTAGAGAATCTTTGCTCTAGTTTCTTTCTACTGGTGTCTGATAAACATCTAGTGAAAACTGAATTATAATTCTGCCCATCTGTTGTTGGTAGCACAGCATTTTAGGTACTCTGCTACTAAATTCAAGCTATGGTTCCTCATTCCCACCCACGCAGATAAGGGTGTGAGGGGAGGGAAAGGGTGGGGCTGGATACAGTCCCTAAGGCATTTCCTTCCCATAGCATTCAACCTTCCTCAAACAGATCTAGAATTTCCAAGGTTTTTAGGTTCTATTTCAACATCTAAGCTAGTGGCTAGGATTTCAAGACTCATGTGCTTTACTGTGAAGCTAGCCATCAATGACAGAGCTAGAACAGCACTTCTTAGGACATCTAGGCTATACATCAACTAAATACACCTCAACATAATGATTTCTAATAGGAAAATCCATCTTCTACAGGCAGCAGCTGTGTATTCAGACACACCTGATAGCCTTCCTTTACCAACCCCTTTTGCAATTTGAATTTTAAAAACAACTACTGAGAAATGATTGTTCTCTCATGAGAGACGTTTCAAAATGTGTCATTTTTTTTCCCCTCAAGATTGTTACCTTGAAAAAAAGACTGATTTTTAATATTTATTTGCCCACTTTCTTCGTTATGAAGTGATGCCAAGACTTGCAGACAACACTAGAAGGATAATTTTTTTAAAAATATATTTTTTACATATAAAGAAAATAGATTTTCTTTTTTATCCTATAGAATTTCTTTACTTTGCTTCCATTTTGGAAGAAGAGGTCTTTGTAAGCTAAGCTCATGCAGGGGCTCTGTTGAGATTTTGTAGTTTCATTCCTACTCCAAGTTTCTGTCAGAAACCATTCTCAGCTGTTTGTGCTTAGTCTGTCATGAGGGACTTGGAAATTTGACTCCTCTTAATTAATTGAACAGCTTTTTATCTCCTGTTTTCTGCATAATCATGCTGAGTACATACATACCTCTCCATTTTCCTTTTTTAAACCAATGCATCTGAAACAGGCCTGCTTTCAGCAATATGTCTCCATTCGGGTACCAAAACATTCAGGCACTCTGTTTTTTACTCTCTAAATTCTTATTCAAAATGAAGGCCAAGTATGGTGAACCCTTGGAATAAGGTTTTCAAGGGGCCAAGTTGCTCCTTCCCAAATCCACCTTCTATAAATTAGTTCCTTCTCCCTTCAGTGAACACAGTTCATAGTCCTGTTTCTCTCTGGACTAGAAGAGGTAATACATCAATTATAGAGAAATAATCATAGAAGGACCCTGGCCTTACCAGTTGCCAAGTAATTACCACAAAATGCTATTTGTTTCCTCAGCTGATTTCAATGCCCTAGTGAGAGACACTCAGCCCCTTGAAGGATTAGGCCCTACATCATTTCTGATCACAACCTTGGCTCTTCTGTAGTGGGTCTGGTGTTTAGCTGTTAGTCAAGCTGACATGGTGGAATGGCATGAAGAGTTATGAGAATTAAAGATGGGAAACCTTCATCAGTTTACGTTGCCTGCACTTGTGCCGAGATGGGCCTCTTCAAACTTGCGAGTAATTGAGTTGAGTGAATTTTGTAGCAGTCTGTGGCTGTTCTTTCAAAGTTTGTAGAGACATCAATTAAGGAACAGTAGTTACAGTTATGTACTGTGTTGGGATTCCTTAGAGGTATGATAGATTCTGACTTAACAAAATTAATGTCACTTTGTCTTAGGGGTTCTTTCACTTTAAAATAGTTACTTTGAAAGTAATAAGCAAAACAATAGAGAAACCAGTCAACGTAGCATCCAGCTAGAATATTCTTTACTACTTGCATTAATTACCCCATAGTCAGACAGCTCTGTGATTAAATTTACATTCCTAAAAAACCCCATTACAACAGTTTGACTAGCTTAATTCATTTCTCTGCTTTTACACACAGATCAACTTGACATCATTTCAATGGCTGAAACAACAATGATGCCTGAGGAAATTGAGCTTGAGATGGCAAAGATCCAGAGACTTCGGGAAGTCTTAGTCAGGAGAGAATCAGAACTCAGGTTTATGTAAGTATCAATACTTCTGGGAAAACACTATGCAAAATTAATCAAAATAGGAAAGAATGCTATTTAGAAGACTTTCATCTGCTTGAATTTTTGAAAGGAAGAAACATAAAGAGCATCCCAGTTAGGTGAATGCTTGCAAAATGCCATTGGGAAATGATTTTGTAGCTGCAATGGAAATCACCTTTTTTATTCAGTATGATTTGCAGAAGACATAAAAGGGACTTATTACTTACAAAAGGAAATTTTAGCAAAGTACATGTCTACAGAGCATATTTTTATAACTGACTTCAACCCTTGGTGGGAAGGATATTTGTCTGAAGAAAATACCAACAGGTAGGGGATTTGGAGCTTCTGCAGTCAAACCTAATTCAGGCTTTATTCCTCACTTCATTAGTGGTCTCAGACAGTTCATGTCACAAGAGAGCACACTATGTTTTGGACTAATAGCAGCCAAGATCTGACATTTGTTAAATGGAAGCCGTTTGATGTATCAAATTAAATAGCAATATTCCAAGAGAGATTTTTCAAAACTGCCAAAAGGGTCAGGCGTAGGAGCCTCCCTGACGGTTAATGAATATTAATCCAGTTCTGATGATGAAATCAATAGGGTTTATATTACTAAATCGCTGAATTTAGAAGACGGGACTTTTTATTAATAAGGAGTATATTATTTTTAATTCCCATCTGTCTGTGAGTAGCTGAGGTCAGAAACTCACACCTTTGCTGACAGGCGAAGAACCTCAGTAGATCTAAACCTGCCAAACCCAGACCCTTGGCATTAATAAAGCTATAGTAGCCTGAAAAAACTCACTTGCTCTTTCCTCTCTTTAAAGTACAAAGATAGGACTGGTACCTTAACCCTTACACCTGGAGGTTAGTTTCAGTGCCCTGTCTTGCACTGCCAGAAGTTGAAAGCCTCACCCTCAGACAGCACTAACATCTGTCACCTCAGAAGACTGCAGCCCAGAATCACTGCTTAGACACCTTTGGAAATAAGGTTTGATAACAGCGACACTAACCTTTAATAATGCTGTCGTAGTAGTGCAAATAAGGTAAACAGGAAAGGTTTTGTCACAACTGCTCCTGGTAGTCAAATAACTACTTGGTTATTGGCTTGTACATAAATTTAGTGCATCATTGAACCCTGCACTTCTCCTGACATTTTCTGTATCAAAGCACTGAAATAAACTGTCCTAGTGAACGTGAGCCATGTCAGACATCTGCTTGTCATCATTTTGCATGTTCTTCACTTGTTCTGTTTGTTCTTTTATCCAGTCTGTTCTTTTTATTTCCACCATGCTCACACTCATCACACTGTATTGCCTAGCAGGTGTTTGAGTAAGGAATTTAACAGAGGAGCTTGCTTATTGAAAAGGAAGTATAACTGACATTCATACCACACAACAGCACTCTTCCTGCATTAGAGATCATCCAAGCATGCTCTGCCTAGAACCACCCAAGAGCACTCCCCAGCCATTCACTGGCTGAGGAAAGCTCTTATGAGCATCAGTCTCCACTAGGTTTGGCCCTAGGTATTAGCAAAGCACGCAGGTGACAGAGGCAGCAACTGCCAGAGATGTCCCCTTTTTTTTGTCTTTTCTAATTCATGGAAAGCCAAGCTTGTTGCTGCTGCCACTGTCTTCAGCAAGAGGGACTGAGGTCTGTTGCCACTGCCACAGACTCTCATTCCTTCAGCAGCAGTGGGCCAAGATGACTGCTCTTCCAGGGATATTCACACAGCTTTCTAGCTCAACTGCTCCCTTCTCTGTGGCAGAATACCCTGACACTGCTCATTAATCCTTGAGGCAGTTAAATTCACTTTAACACTACTGAATGAAACGGTGAGATAGGATCTGTCTCTGCACTGGGACTCTACTGGCAAACCAAGACTGCACTGATCATGATTTTTCAAGCCTCCTGTAGGCTCCCCATCTTTCTAAGCCCATTTACAATAGGCAAGTTCTTCATACTGGCTCATCAAGTGTGAAAGAAAAAGCAGGCTCTCTCATTCACAAAGGCCTCCAGAATTAGAACATGCTTCCCTTAATAGCTTTTAGGGGTCAAAAAAGTTGTCTATTTGACTTTATTTAATTTTTAAAATGTTTTTACATTTTATTCCTGACAGGTGAGACGCATGTTGCTGGTGATGCCCAAGTAATAGAGCAGCACCTGTTCTTTACTGCCTTTCATTCTGGATAGTTCACACTGACAGAGGGGCTTGGTGGCATTTGTCTTCAATGAGAAGCATCTTTTAACGACCTCTTGCTGAGATTAACAGCACGACTCATGGTTACCTCAGTGGTCCAAATTTTGTATGTGTTTAACTAAGCAAGTTACATAAACTAATTCATATACATATTGTGGAAGACTTTATGTGTGGCCATATTTTTTTTTTTTTCAGTTGTTTCCTGAAATAATGCATTGCCACTGTCCCAAGACCAGAAGTCTGTATGTAGGTCATGAATTTTGGTAATTGTTTTCTTCTGACAGGACTAAATTCCCCTATGAATGACCTATACAAGCAACTGCATGAAACTGAGCCGCCTCTGGTTTAAGGCAGACTTGACTTTGAGCACGTGGCTGCTAACTAGTGGTACTACACCTACACTCAGGCTGCTGACTTCAAGACCAGCTTTAATGAGAACCAGATCTCTTTAGTTCTTGTACCTGCTTTAGCTTTTTGTTCAATTATAACAAAAGGACAAAACACAGTAATGGAGAAAATGTGTGATATGTTTGTATTCTCATTTTTTCCCCTCATGCTGTTAGCAACAGAGTAGAAATTCTCTTGAGGTAAATTGAGCTTTTTTAAGCTCTTATAAAAGCATGAACACGTTGAAGTAATTCTGTATCACTTAGGCATCCAGCCACAGCTTACATCTCTAGCTACATTTTTAAAAGTAATGGTTCATTCTTCTCACTGTCTCTTTGTATGACAGATCTTTTTATTTACATGTAGCCAGATGCTAAAGCTAGGACAAAGTACATTGTAGCTGTGCTTTAAAAAATAAATAATTAAATAAATAAGCTCGAGGGCTTCTGCTCTGAGTGTATCACCAACCCTAATGGTGGCCACGGCTCCCTCCTGGTAGATGCATACAGCCTGCCAGCTTTACTTGCACACACCAACAGCTACTACAACTCTTCACGGCACAGACACTGTACTTTAACAATATTCACACTCAAGAATTAGAAAACAACACTACAAGCTAGACCTGTTGCTAATGGAAATCAGAACAAGCTCTTCCTGTCAGTGATGTGCGTTTAATCCATGGAAGGAACTTGCTCTAAGACTGCTAATTGAACTTATGGTTTTCCTTGAAGATGTACAAAAAAGATCAAGATGGTATAGTAATAAAATTCAGCATTACTGACGTTGAAGCAGCTCTGCAACAACACTGTTGTCTTTAACTGTTACATCATCATTTTGGCCAGACAAATGCAGTAACCATAAAAATAAGGGCATTTAGCAGAGAAAAAAAAGTTAGCATATCAGCTAGTACAAAGAAAAACAAACAAACAAAACAGAACAAAACCCAAATCCAACTAAAACCAAAAAAACCCTAGCCAGATCTGGATGCGCAGCAGACCTGGAGTTGGTTTGCATTTTTGTCTATGTTTAGCTCATATCTGGGGCCAAATTATAACACTCTATCACCCCATGACCCCTCACCAGCCGGGAAGGGGGAATCAGAAAAAGGAGAGGAGACCCACAGGTTGAAGTGAAAACAGATTTGATGAAATAGCACTAATACCAACAAAGGCACACAAGGTTGTACCCAGCTGAACAAATGCACAGCAGTCACAATTGAAAGGGAAGCAGTCCTCAGGAGCTCTGTCTCCCCAGCAAACCTTCCCCTTTATGATGACCAGACATTATGGATGGGCTACACCTGTAACTCACTCAGGTCAGCTGCCCCTGGCTGACTCGAAACTGCTAATGGCCTGCCTAGCATGGCTGGGCTGTGATTCTGTCCCAGCCAAACTGGGACAATTTTTCACACTTCT